TTTGCTTGTTCATTAAGATGTGACTGTGCAGAACATGTGCCCAGCACCACATTACTCACTGGTATGTTGTAGCCAGGGAAGGGATAATCAAGGGAAAATAAATATGCCTAATCTGACACCTCAAACCTTGCTCTTTGCTATCGGACTGGACTCTAATCTCAGAAAACAGATTCAGTTATTACCTATGGCCCTGATTCCCTTTGCCAAACATTAGTGGTGTCTACAATCACATTTTCCTTGGAGAAATATTTTCTCCTTAATGTCCAAAGATGTTGCCAAGTGCTCAAATAACAACAGTTCTTCTGAAAACTCTTTCAGTTCAGTAACTGAAGGTACTGCACTCCCCAACAGCCAAGACTGCACTGTGCAGGTTTAGGGGTGACGGTGTTTACCTTGTTGCTGGCTCATGGTTTGTTGGGGTTTGACATGTTCACTCCCACTTTAAGGAAAAACTTTTCAGGACTGCAACAGCAATTAATCAAGCTCCAAAATTCTAGTTTGCTTATGTTTCTTAGAGTTCCCATCATGTCCTCTGCTATAATGGAATCTTAACAGTTTTAAAAATCTTGCTTAGATACAGCAATGTAAGCAAGATAGATTTACAACCTAAACGACTTGCCCTAAGATAGTTCTGACCTTTTTTTTTGCATGGCTTTTTGTTTGACCTTTGCTTTCTTTAGGTAGTGATGCACCAGCTCACAACCCAACACAATATTCAGGTATTGGCCTTTCTGTTTGTGAGTAGGAGACAAATTTCTGGATTTCAGTTATTCTGGATTCATCTTTTATTTAAAAGCAAAAATACAGTTGAACCACACCAGCTCTTGAAAAGCACCCAGGAGAGGAACTGATTCCACCCTGGCAAACCACACTGACACCCAGACAGGCTCACAAAGAGCACTGGATCCACACGGTGAATACTCAGAGATGAAATTTTACTTCCTGTCTCCAAGAGCATTTGAAAGTAAGAATAGGTTTCCAGTTTGGACACTGAAGTAATGAGGCAGCTGGCAAGCTTTCTTGCCCTGTGAAGGTGCTGGTACTAGGCTTACAGTGTCAAGGAGACGGTCACCTTTTTCAGTATTTATCACCACATCATATACAAGGTAGTTACACTAAGTTCTCCCAAAGAACCCATAAACTATTGCCACCTAAATTTAATCCTGAGCTGCACACTTAATAAAAGGAGGAAAAATCCCCAAAGTCCAACAATTTATAACTGGGACACAGACAAGGAAACTTGATTCCCAGTTCAAGCAAAATGTTACAAACCTCTCATCTTCAGAGATAAAAATATGCTATATTGCAACACACACCCCTGAAGAGAAAAGATGGATGGGATGCATCAACAACTGTCTTTCCTGAAGCAAATACATTGTGTATTCTTTCTCCTTGTACTTCATGCTCATCCCCAACGCAGACACCTGTAGCGTATTTCTGCTTGGCATGTCCCATATTCCTCATACCCACTACACACACAGGTTTTATCTCAGTATCATGCATCAGTCTCTTCCCATCCTACTTTACCATTTCTGTTTAACCCATTCCTTCCATCCTGCTAAGGACTTGAGCCTATCCGCAGTGGGCTGGTGATTTGCAGCTCATCCGCTCCTTTCACTTTTAGGGTCAACTCTTATGACCTGTCCCATTGATTTGGGAGGTATGGGGTTTTTTTCCTTATTTCAGGAAAGGGATAAATGTGCTATATATTCACTCAACTTCAAAGCTATGGGAAAAGCTTGTTGGAACTGAGTAAATGGTAGCAGAAGTCAACAGAGCAAATTCTCTGGAACCGGTTCTGTCTGGTAGGACAAGAGGACCTTGAACCTGCTTCTGGCAGCCGCTATCCACCCCCACCAGACAGGGTCAGGCAACTGAGATTCAGCAGCCGCTCTAGGGTGAACACAGGTCTTGCAATGTTGTAATAGCACAAACAAGCTTCAATGCATTTGCACTAATTACTTACATCTAAGCTTTACTTTCCATCTGCAAAAAAGCTAAGTATTTTCTATCAAAGCTGACTACGGGAGACCCAAGTTTCTGCAGATCCATACCCCACCAAGCAGATGAGATCCAAGTCCCATGAATTTCTTCAAAGTCTGCTGCTCAGTACTCATAAATTCCCACTAGGTATTTGCAAGCACATGCAGCTATCTGCATATCTGCATGCCTGCCGGCAAGACACACATGCCAGACTTCCGGGGCTCTGAGACTCTGAGTTTGCTGTTGTCATTTAGCAGTCTCCCCTCTTCTTCAAAGCATTCAGCAGGCACAAAAAAGTACTTTCCAGTCTGATTATACTTATCAGTCTGACTTGGAGATGTGATCTTTCCACTCCTGACCTTGAAGTGGTCAGCAGTCAGAAGTTTTACATAAGATCTGGGCTCTCAGCTAGTTTCCTCTGATTTGCAAGCATCTTTCTCTTGAAAAACAGCCATGAGAGACTTTGCATTTCCCTGATGTGGTGTTTGACTTTACTAAGCAAAATGATCCCCCTGCATAGTGTGTTCAGCAATGCGATTAAAAAAAAAAAAAAATCAGGTCTACATTGGATGGTTCCAAGGGCTAGAAGGCTTCTTCCTTGTTAACAATGTAAAACAAAGATGGGGAAGAAGCTATTTCATGAGAATATGGAAGAAGTTATACAGCACTGAAGCACAGAGAAAGCCTCAAAGCACTTGGGACCAGCTCAGTGCTGCTGCACTTTGGTTGACCCACTACAAGAACACAAAAAAAACCTACATGCCCCCTTTATCAGGGGGCATTTATAAATTTGTTGCTACAGAGTAGTTTTTAAAAGTTACACAGATTGTAAATAACCACATAGTTTTCAAGAACCTTTATACATCATCTTTTTTAATTAGATTAGCTTTACAAGCAACTTGAGAGCTCTTTCATAATGAACACTGCTTTTCAAATTACACAACTTTATAGGCAACCTGTAAATGAATCCTGAATTTCTGTGCCTGCTATAGATAAAGATCTCATATTTTACAGCTGGCTAACATCATGAATAAAAATAGCATTATGAAGCTTTACCTTTAACCAGGACTAGACACATACAGATCATAAGACAGTTTAAAAAAAGTTTTAAAACAAGGAACTGCTTGGTGATGCTCAAGATTGAATATTCAACCAACATGAAATGAACTGTTTCTAAAGGACATGAAGAAACGGCTGACCTGATTTGTTGACCCTATTGTAATGACTTACATGGAGTGAAAAATTAAGCACTTTTTAAACCTGTCTGGCAAGCACAAACCTACAGTGTGATTAGAATTTGATATGCCATGTAACTGCAGAAGTTTGAATTACAGAGGGACTGAAATGAGTTTAAAGGCTTATGCTTACATTTCGAAAATAAAACCAACCAAACCTCTGTTAAAGTAGTACTTAAAGATGAAGTAGAAGAGGTGGCTTTTTTGCTTGTTTCATTGGTAGCCTAAATGCACTGCAGACCAGACAGTAATGAAGATTTGCACTCCTTGGCCAGGTTGGCAGAGGCACTTACAGTAAAGGTATCCTGTCTGTTTTTCTGGGAAGAAGAGAGGAAAGAGGAAGAGAACTGTAAAGGGCAAGAACTTACTAAAAAAAGAAAAGGAAAAGGAAAATCAAAACAAGACTGGGATTTCTGTTGGTTCTCCTAAATGATATACTGATACTGAATTTTTTCCCCTTCTGTCAGTTTGTTACTAAACAATTAGCTTTTTCATGTTTTACATGAACAATAGTAATTTTTAATAAAAAAAATACTGAGCTTTCCATAGAAAAGGTCTCTAATTGAATACAAACTATACAGATGCTAAAATTGTCACAAGTTGTAATATATACAGAAATATTTCTGTACACTCACATTGTTTTGGCTAAGTAAGGAAATAAGGGACAGACAGAAAACTGCAGTGGGTCAGCTGATTGACCTCCAAACCCCTGTAAATAAAAATGCTGTGTTTTATAGGTTTGGTTTTTTTCTCAAGCTTTTAAAGCCCAGGGAAAAAAAAAAAAAGAGAGAAGAAAAAATAATAAGCATGCAAAATGTCAATTTCTTAAAAATAAGAATATAAAAGTTTCTGCACATCTCACTTTTATTCTGTGATGTCCCCTCTCCTTGATAAAATGAAAACAATGTAAAAGAAAAGAAAGGTTTTCTTACTAAATATATATCTCAGTATTGATCAAAGGGCAGTGCCTTTTTGGGGAAATCCTTCAGCACAGTGAAAATTTAAAGATGTATTGCACAAGGAGCCTACAGTGATGCACTTCAGCTTCAGCGTGCTGACCATCTCCTTGATACTATATAATAGATCAAGGTGTCAACTTACAGACTGCATGGGACACCAACACTTGAAAAGGAAATTTTTAAAAGTGAATTTTAGATATTTTATTAACTTATATATAAAGGAAAGGGGGGTGGTAAGTATTCTTTAGAAAAGTGAGAAAGCTCAAAAATTTCTGTCAAGTACATAAGGAGGTTCTGGGTACCTCTAATAGCCTAGGAAAGCCCTTGTATATTCTTGTAAATTGATGGTATTTACCAGGTCCCCAAAGCCAATGACAGCAACTGATAGTGTCAAGTTCACTTAGTGCCAGTCACTTAAAAAGAAAACCAAACCAAAGCAAAAAATAAACCAAAACAAACCAAAAAACAAAGAAGAGACAGAAACTTCCCCTCTGTGGATTCAACATACAAAACCACAAACTGAATGTTACTAATAGCGAGATACTGATTTGCTTCTGTTAATAAGGTTCAAGAGGACATAGTCAAAAAAAAACAATACAGCAGCAATCTTTAAAAGTTAAGATTAGTGTGAGATACGATATAAAACAATCAGGTTTTTAGCTGGTAATTAAAGTGCTCCTTTTCTGACTTAAGGTGTAAAGAAAATTAAAGTGATTATCAGTTACTGGCAACCCTTACATTAAATTAGGTCTTTTATGGCAGAGGAGAACAGTATGAACAGTTTTACAAAAATAGATCAATGTTATTTTGGAGAATACTGTAATTTTTTTCTTTTTTTTTTTCAGTTTTTCTTTTTTTTTTTTTTTAAGACTCAATTTTGATAAACTGTACCTGGTCATACAAAATTACCCAAAATTCAAACTTTTACCATATAAAAAAAGGGAGAGATGAATTGGATTCAGCTGGATGACAGGTCTGGCAAAATATAAGGATGGACAAATTCTATGTAGGGCACTTATTTATGTCCAGATGCATATGTTGTTTCTTACTGATTGCTTATCTTCTTCACATAAGCAGTCACAGGCCTGGAGTCACAATCACATAGTACAATGCTTCAGCAGTCAAAGAATCTTCTATTTGATGCAACATCGAAACACTGCTTCTTTATTAAAATGTTGGTTTGTTGTTGATTTTCCTTTATCTTGTTATTCACATTCAAAAGTTAATAGATCGCATCAAGATTTATCAGGGAGAACAGCAAGGGGAGTTGCTAAATCAAAGGCTTATAAAACGTCTTTCCCAACTGAGTCAGAAGGTTTATTAAGTTCCACCCTCACACCTTTTTCACCTGCAGAAATATGAAAAAAAAAAAATCAGTATTATTTTTCAGCATTTATCAAAGTATACTCTATAGAATTGCTACATTACTTCCCACAGTTTTAAGAGAGTACTTCAAAGTTTGTCTAGTACATTTTATATATGAAGATAAATCTTTTTGTATACATGCTCTGTATCCCGTGCTCTGTAAAGTTAACGAGCTGTGGTTACTCATAATCTCTGAAAGTGGGCATTTATTTGGCTGCCCAAGTAGAAATCTAGATACTTCACATCTTATGTGCAGTTCTGAAGTTCTTTGTCTCAGCCTTTATAAAGGTAAGCTTTAAGAATGGCTAACTGAGAATCTAAGGACATAATCCATGATTCTGGATCAGAATATCCAGAGTTTCTGGGTATTTACCTTTGTAAAGACACTGAGGGATTTTTAAAGTGTAACATTACATTTGATTTGCTCTTAAAAAATAAACAAAACAAAACAAGCCCACACCTCTGTCCTTTTCTCTAAAACTGACCTTCAGGTACCCCCAAAAAAGTTCGATATCAAAACATTAACAGACACAGTATCCCATATTCAAGAAAAATTCACACATTATTATACACGGCTTTACTTAGTCTGAAAATAAGCTAGAAACTAACAGCTTTCTATTTTATGACATTTTATGGTGTAATTTTATATATTAATGTAAGTGGAAAATAAAAAGCATCTTGCACAATTCTTGCTACAGATAAAGAGCAAAGAATGTAATTTTAATTGCAAATGAAACTGGAACCACAACAATATAATATAAAACAATTTCAGGGAAAACAGACACCAAAATTTAAACAACCCTGCCAACCCAGCCTTCCTTCCTTAAGTGCCTGCAGTTTAGGGGGACACTGGAAAGGGAAGTGGGCTGGGCAGGAAGCACCTCCCCTGCAAGCAAGAGCCCACCTGAAGCACTTCCCTGCAAGAGCAGCAGCAACTGAAGCTGCGAAGAGAAAACCAAAACAGATCTGATCCAGCAAGGCTGGCTCCAGAATCTGTGTGGTCACACATGTATGACGTGACCTCCCCAGACAGACAGGCTTCCTGCGGAGACCAGGCAGCGTTACCCAGCGCTCCTGACTGCCTGGGAAGTGCCTTGCCAGGCACACACCGCTGAGCGGTGGGACAGCCTGCCTGGCCAGAGCTATGCTGCTTTGGAAGCTAGGCAGGAGCTGCATCGCTCATACCACTCCCAAAGTGCACAAAGTCACCAGCTGTACCAAGGGGGACTGAACAGCAGCAGCTTTTGTAGCTGCCAGATAGCTCTGGTGCTACTTATCAGCTTCTGATGCCTACAAGCAATGAATAGAAATCTGATTTGGAAATAACTGGCACATGTCTTCAAAATCATTGATTTTGGAGCATTTGATGAAACCATGGAGAAACTGGTCCTTGTGCATATGTGCACCTGCAGCACACCTGATTTTAGGTTTTTTTTAAACTACTGTAACAAATGCAAAATTGTGATGGCAATTACAAGCATGACAGAAGTCCTAGACCACTTCTCCTTATAATGCTAATTTGAACAGGAAAATTAGATCAATTTCCTCTTGAGGGAGAAGCCAGAAAAGGAAAACAGATGCTAGATATGTGGAATTGGAAGTGGAGGAAGCAACTCCATTCTTTGATTCCAGATTTTAATTTTAGGCTTTTGTTTTTCTGATATAGATATTCTAGTCCAGTTAAGCTATATTCACTTGTTGAATCACTATAGTAGATCAAAAGTATTTCCAGAGCTCTGAGTTCTGTCGTGCCTCACAGTCTCTGGTGTATTTATTCTCTGCACCTATCTGGGAGACAAGGCTAGAGAGAAGCTGTATCCCCCATATAAAAATCCTGAGCAGCCTCAGGTCTCAGAGAAACTGTGAGCAGGACAAGCACTGACCTGGATTTCCCAAGTCACTGCCTAGCAACTCAGCCACTGGATCACCCTCCCTGTAAAACCGGACTCTGAGTTAAGCTGTTTTTCTTCACCTTTTTGTGCACAGGGTAGGCCAAGGAGATGGGTTTGGACTACTTGGCTGTTCTTCCAGAAAAAAAGAAAAAAAAGAACACAGAAGATATTAACAAGAGATTACCTGTTAGATATTTTACTTTAGCTCGTGCTCTTTCATCTGCATCAAAATACCACACTGTTATCGCGTACCTAGGGAAACGGATAGAAAACGGACTCCTGAACTATGAAGAAAAAACAGTGAAACACTTGACATAAAACATAACGTAAATGAGACGATACTTCTGCAGTCTGACAGAAGAAAGATTTCACAAACACAAAGCAAGCAGGATTTTTTTTTTCTCTTAGTAGATATCGTCTGAACAGTCATTGAAAGGGTGACACTGATGCTTTCAGTTTACAATTCTTTTTCCTGATGCGTTGCTATTACAGTTCTTGCCCAGAACGTGTAACATAGTGTTTGTCCATATCACCTTGCCCTGTGACCTCACTCAGTCAAGTCCATCACTGAGTCACACTGCAAGAACCTCTTTTTTTTTTTTGAAAATTAACTACCCGTCCTTACACAGCTCCTCTGGTTTTCCACCAGGATTTAAATATGAAATGCCAGCTACTGAGAAAAGACTTAAGGAGCTTTAGTAAATGGCATTTCACCCTCTAACTCTGTTCAGAGTACAAAGGGAGAGGGGAGAGTGGTGCAGCCTCCCGAAAGGTTGCAAGAGGACATGCTGATGGCAGTTTCAAGTTATTTCTTACAAAGGTACTTAGGTTATCTCACAGCTCCAGTCCATGTTCGGTGCTCTGGCCATGCAAACATGTTGCAACATGGGCAACAGCGAGCCTGGATCAAGGGCTCTAGTGATTTGCCTATTAACATTACCCGCTCCCACCACTCAAGGGGGCAGTGAATGCAGGTACCTTGAGCATCATCCACCACCCTGCACTGAGGGACAAAGGAGATATCAAGTTCCCTCTGTGACTCGGACGGGGAGCAACTCCTCTACTAGTTCAGAGAAAGAGAAGATTTGTGTATCAATGGTCATTTCTAGGCCACAGGTCTCTCCAAATTCCAAAACTAAGCCACCTCTAGAATAAAGAGGGTAGAGTGAACATGAACATGTCCTAATAACTCCCTCCAACACAACAAAAGAGGACACAGAAGTGAAGCACCTACTCAAATCTTCCAGTAACACAGTAATGTACTAAGGACAACGGGAAGGAAGGAGAGTGTAAAGACACCACAGAGAAATAATGAAGATAACACCCCTTGGACAAGGTGGGATCTCCTTATTGGCCATGTGTGCTCCTACCCAATTCTGTCAAGTACATACTCAAGAAACTTCTGGTGTTTCCATGTCCTCTCCCCTATCCACCCAAGAGGATGTTTTCTCCAAAATAAGAGATCAGACATGAGCACAATCTCAGCAGCACAGCAGAAGCCTAATCAATAATTAGAAAAAAAATCCCTTTGCCATAGTGCAACTGTACAAGAAAAGACCTGGGTTCAGGTCATAATCCATAGCTCCATTCATTTCTCATTACGATCCACTCATCTCATTGCTAAGAGAGGCATCATGCAATATATAGAGTCCGTTAGTCCTACCTTGTAGCAAATGCTGGCTGTACTTCATGAGGGTTGCGGCGATCAGACCAGAAGAATAGCAGTCTATCGAATTTGGGTTCAATATCAGCAAATTGGGCTTTACCTTCTGGAAATATCCGAAGGATGCCTCCACTTACCTACAAATTGTATATTTTAAAACCAGTGCTTGAAAATAACACCTCATTATATTTAAAAGTAGCAAATATCACATTTGAAAATACTTCAGAAACCTGGAACTGAAATAAAAGCCTTTATCTGATGCTACAGAAATTATGATTCTATGGCTTTTCTGTCAATACATTTAACAAAAAATTTACACATTTTTCACTGAGTAATTTCAGAATGCTTGCAAATATTAAACCTCCATTCATGTTTAAGTACAAAGCCATGATTTTAGATTGGTTGGATTTTAGCTCCACCGCCCATTTGCAAAAAAATGGACAAGATAGACTGATACTATACAGGTGGGTAAAAATACGCCAATATAGATGAGAGGAACATATTTTACATCCAAATTTCACCCTTTCCCATTAAAGATATCGTTTCATTTAACAGCAGCAGCAGTTTTGTGTCATGTTTCTGTAACTAAGATGGGGAAAGACTAGGGAACTTCAGCCTGAAGCTTGAATTTGTATTACTCCTGGTCTATTTTTCAAAGCCTGGAGGAGATCTAAATTGACGGGCCTACCTAAGCACGCCTAGAAAACAGCACAACTAGGTGGGGGTAATTATTTTTAAGTCATGCTTCCTTCTTCCTACTGATGGCACTGATGTCAAATTTAACTATAGTAGCCACCCTAGCCCTTCATGGGAAAGTCACAACTGAAAATACTAAAAAAAAGTAAATTGATATAAATGACTGGTTTTTAATTGTGATCTAAATCAGCAAAAAAGTGACAGTTTAGATCAATTTCTTATCCTAAAGACAGTCTGAGCTTCCTTCTTTGCTAATCAATATACTTTGTAAGGTTTTAATTTGTAATTTAAAATACATTTTGCAGTAAATTAAATACCTTTGTTCATAAGTAAAATATTCAGCTCAAAATTTTTCACAGTTATTGTTAAAACGCTATTTGACTTCTAGGCTCTGGTATGTATTCACTTGTTCCAGAAGAGACACTACAATTCAACTAAAAATGCCCCAAAACTGCATTTTAAGATGTTCAGTCCAACCAGTACACTTAGATGCAAAGATGCTATCATGGCAAAGAAGGCTAGTAATTTATTATCCAATTGAAGGATCAAATTTGACATTTCAAAGAGCAGTTAGAAATAAGAAAGTTTCAAGTGCATCCATTTCTGTATTATGATAGAAGTATCAGTAGTTTTATCTTTTTTTTTCTATCTATCTATACAAAGCAAGAATAAACTGCATAGCTGACTGCACAGCAATCAAGCAGTAAACAAAGCTATCTTTGCATTACTCTCTCATGCTTTCAATACAGCCAGTTAGCTACATCCATTCTTCAAATCTGCTTAATCCCACCGAATTGCTAGGATAATCCTTATTAAAAAGTTACTTTATGATAGTCACTACATCTATGGAGATTTTCGGATTGCTGGCAGTAAACTCTTAGACCACTTGAGCTGTGTTATAAGTCCTTATCTATTCTACACTCTATATCTACAACGATACACAGAATTGTGCTGCTTTGAACTATATTGATATAACAATAATGAGAACACTTGCTCATTTGCAGCTGCTCCCAAGCTACAGTATCTTTCCTTTTATAAGCATACTCAATTAAGTAATCTAGTTGCACAAACGGTAGACTCAAGATTAAACATTAATAAGGAGAAATAAACTAAAAGGAACTACCTTTCAAATATTGTTTATATACTGTTGGTGGGGGGGGGGGTTACCAATAATTAGGTATTTATGAAACTTGGATACCAGCAAGTACTTATATGTATAACTAAGAAACATACACGAAAAGTATGCAAGTTTCCTTCAATCTCCCGTCAAGGAGGTCCTGCTGGAATAATTCAAAATCTTGAAAACAAATGCCTCACCTCTATCCGCTCTCCCTAACAGCAGAATTGGGGGGGCAAAGAACATGCACAGTAAATGTAATGTAAAAACACAACTGAGGCACAGAAATAAGGACATGAACAGAGACCTCTAGCAAAGGTACATTAGCAAGTATATGTAAAAGAAAGTTATAAAAGGAAATTATTGCATACCTTGGCATCCCAGTCTTTATTAAGATAATATATACATGTAACACATCTTCCGTCTCCATTTGGATTATCAACATGGCGCACGTATCCTGTTCCGTTGCCTGGATAACAAGCCACCATAGCCTAGAGTAAAAGAATCAAACATGATAATTAATGTTATTTGTGGGGCATAAAAGGCTGCATTTAATCTGTATTAATTCCTATGTAATTCATAGATAAGCAACAGAAAAATGAAATTAGAAATAATGGGGAAAAGTTTTTATCTTTGTCTTCTTTCTAGTTAAAAACTAGTTTTGAACATAAAACAAAAGTCTACAAAAAAGGCATGAAACATTGAGAGGAACACTGTTAAGGTATGGAAGGTGGAGCTGCTTCTATGTTGTTACTAACACTTCAGACTTCCCTCCCTTGAAAGAAATGCAAGAGAGAAAAGATGTCTTGTGTATAATTAAGTAGCATGAGCTTCTTGTTAAGAATACTGTTTTCAGACTCAAGCTCACAGAGAGCCATCTTTTGTTCTTTTGCCCACCCCTCCCCCCTCCCCCTTTTTTTTGGGTGTGTGGTTTCCAATGCAAAGAATTCCTCCTCCTTTATTTTTAGGAGACCTTTTAGACAAGATCATTAGGCCCATCTTATTCAATCACTGCATGTGCATTCTTGGGCTTGTGTTTTGTCCTGTACATAGGAGGTCTTTGAACCTTTGTTGAAACAAGCCTACATCTACAACAAAAACATCCTTTTGAGTCAAGAAGTGAGAAATTGAAAACAGACACCGAAGAGTAATCTGGAGTAACCTTCTGACATCAAACAATTCCCAGTACAGTAGTATATTTAACTTCCCATGCTGCATTTAGCCTAGCTGACTTGAAAGACCACTAGAAGGTGGTTTGGCTTTTGAGTCCTCAGACATGCTGATGTGCATGTGAAACAAACTGGCTATCTTGCTAACAGACGGCCTGATTAGCTTGGTTACCTATCAGTTTGCAGGGACAGTTTGTTGCATGGCACATCCCTGCATCTGTATGAATCTGCTGGAAACTGCAATCATTTCAGGTTTTTGAGGCGATCAGAACAAAGTTTTCCAGGTCAAGTCATTCACTGCCACAACAGGACTTGTATGTCTGCAGTGACAATATACTTTCTCCAAAAAGTTGTAACATGAATTTAAAAGAAAAGCAAAAAAGTGAGTTTCGACTAACAAACCGATACACTAATAAACCTCAATGAATGTCTACGCTCTAGGAGAAGAGAAAAAAACAAAAACAAAACCCAACAATCAGCTTTTAAACACAATCATTCCAGTTCATCTTTTGCCTGGTTAAGTTAGCACCTAAAGTCAGGCCCCCAGATTTCAAACTTCAGCCACACCGCCCTTATGTAAAATACCAAGAATGGCTTTCCCACTTAAGTGTTAACTGTGAAAATGTAACCCGTCAGATTACAAGTATTTAAAATCAATCATTTCAGTTCATTTTTTACTTTATACTGATAACGTTTTTCCTTTTTTAAATGTTAACAAACAAAGCTTTCCACAGTTTATATTACTTGCAAGAAACTGTACTTTAAGCAGGCTGAGAAGTATTTTAAAGTACTTGTAGCTCAATCAATAAAATACTTGTATATCACATATAAGCAGAATGGATTTTGCTATAGCACATAATGTTTGCTAAATAGTAGCACTGTGGTTATTAAAAAAAAAAGCCAAACTGTATTCACATGACTTGGAAGCAACTACACAGGTATAGCACTCCATGAAAAGTTCTCAAAACTACAAAATTCAAATATACTTGTAGTTTTGAGATTAGACACTTCAGCTTCTCAGTCCCTTTACTGTAATTATAGCGTAGTCATCATTACAGGTATCATGTCATGTAAACATTTACATGTATCAAGTAATGTCACCTAATATTTGGCAAAACCATTACGTATCAGTTTTGCTGGAGGAAGACAAACCCACAAAAATCAAAACAGTGAGTTGAAGACACCAAATAATATCATAAGGGTGCTGCAACTTCCTTTCTTATGGGGGAAAAAAAAAAAAAAGGAACAAAACAAAAGTGAAGCTGGTCTGGAAGAGGAAGATAACTTGGTTTCTCACTGCAAGCCAGCCTTCCTGAAAGTAGTTGCACATACCACAAACCCTATCGAGCTCTCATGGAGTGTGAACAGTGCTGAAAGCAGAGCCAGACCCAGTCCTACATCAGCATTCCTAATAACAGGGAAGTTTTATTTAAGGGGGTTTACTGAGAAGTAGCATGTAAGTTAAACCCTCCTGACATTAATTGTTGCTCAACATCTTCAAGAAACAGCTACTGAAACTCATTCAGAATGAAAAAAATGTTGAGACCAAGTAGCTAGAGCAATGTCAGTTCTCACAGAAATCACAAGCAGCCAGACTCAGATACAAAAAGGTCTTCAGGCACACAGATGACCTAAATATCTGTCACCGAACTAAAAACCCTAGTGTTAAAAAGCTTAGGACAGTTCCCAGGTCTCTCTGGCCAACACAGTGTTTTTTTAAGGGCACAGCTGGTTGCTGTCTGTTTCTTGAAAAGATAATTTTGCAGTTAGAGAACCATAAATTTGCATCCTGTTGCTATAGTTTCCTTTAAAAGGTACTGAAATGGATACTTGTTCTCTTTGCTGAAGGACCAGCAGCACTTTTTGGAAAGTCTGGGGAAACACTGGTTGTCATCAACCCAACATAAAGAGCAGCCATATTCAACATCAGAAGCATTTCATGCAATCATTTGAGTCTAAAATACTGTCAATATTTTTTAAAAGCCCCTGTTTTTACACTTTAGAGTCTGAAACTTCTGCTATCATTAACTGCAAGAGACGAGAAACAGTTTTGCTGCGATAACTTATCTAATATATATTTGTTATAACAGTAAGAATGACTCAGCCTTTAGAAGCAAATTGGAAAGCAAACAAATTTGGGAATCAGCCACTGTAGCATAATATACATTGCTTTTGCCAGTTACTGAGACAATTCCCTCTCCTCAATTGAACTATGATAGGGAAAGCCACAAAACTTAACAGTTTTCAGGACATATGAAATGTATTGCTCTGTGAAGCCATTTTGTGTCAAACTGTCATGTACTGCAAGATTATATCTCTATGCTGTAGGCAAGGACAGAAAAGTGACCCAGGTAAATCATGAAGTCACTTTTTTTGTTGTTTTACCATTTTACAGTATACATAAGCAAGCAAATATATGTATGTCAGGCTGAGAAAAAAAATCTGAGTTTGTGGCTTTTTGTTTTGGCTTTTTTTCCTTTTTCTTAAACACTGTTAATGGTAGTCAAGAGAGTCAGGCATTTGAGACCAGAATGTCCAAGATTCCCTAACATTTTAGACTATGAACAATAAAGTTGTTAGCTCTCCAAAACAAAGAGATACCTGTCTCATCAGTTCTCTCATAGAAGTAATTGATGAATTCAACTTAAGGCATTGCTTGCATTTTCTTAATAGACAAGGAGGTCTCCCCTTTTGTGCTTCTCAGGTATTACAATTTTTAAGCATTCAGTAATCTTAATTTCTGCAAAGAATATAGTTACATCACATACTGGATTTGTTCACCCACTGAATTCCTTTCCAAACACTTTTAATTCTAACCTTCTTTAACCCAGCAGCATTCTCTTTTAGTCTGAGCACTCATGCCTAGCACATGAGCGCTGTCCTAAGATACCCTCTGGAATTCATGAGTAATCGAGAAAGCATGAAAGCACCCCAGCTGCTCCGCAATCTGCCCAACTTGTGCCTATCAAACCCAAGTACTCACACACTTAAGCTGCTGCTGATCACTCATTCACTTATAGATGTTCTACTTGCAAATGTTTAACTCTGGAAAATTAACTTTAGGCCATCAGCCCAAACAAGCAAGGAGCAACATTAAGTTATTAACAAAAGAACTAACTGAACCCACAGATTTTTTGCTAAGCATCTGCACTCTTGGTGTGTCAGCCATTATTCTAATTAGTAATTAAATGCACAAAGGTAACATCAGAGAGAATAATCCATAGTCCATATTTTTGTTTGGGATGTCAGGAGGCATCACCTAAGGCATTCAATGCTGGGAGGCACAGCACCTCAGTGCAGCAGAAAACACAAGTTCAATTGGGAACAGCCTCGATCCCCTTCACAGACAAATACGACAGCCTCACCCATATATAAAAAAAGGAAAACTTCCAGGTAAACAGACTGAAGCTTTTTCCTCTATCCTCTCCCCTTCCTCTCACAGCTAGATACCTGCAAGTTTAGGTATTGCTTCGTAAGAAAAGGAAGCAATAATAGCAAACTCTTAGGAAAGAGGGGAAAATACCAGTTACATTACAACATAGAATTCCTTAAGGGAGGGAAAAAAAAACCCAAACCACAAACATAAAACGGAGAGAGGACATGTGTTCTGTCATATTAATTTATTAACGTGAAATAACTTTATTGTTAGCTCAGATTAAAGAAGGCTGCATCAGTCAAGGAGATGTCACTTTTGCTGTTTGCTGAAGGAACTGCAAATCTCTGTGAGCAAAACAAGATGTCTAAATGCAAGACCGATGACTTCCTACCAAAATTTATCAGATGCTCTCACAAAGAGTTCCCTGGAAATCCTTGGCATGGGTCATCTGACAGATTAATCAAAGAAAAATAAACCCAAAGAAAAACCACCACTGGAATGAAAAAACCAAATAAAAGAAAAAACACAGCTGACCTGTTTGGTCCATCTGTGGTATATTTCTACTTCCATAATTTGTTCATCCCTGACAACAGTCCTGAAGAAACACACTTCAATTTAAGTACATCAACAAGATTTTTCACAAGGTGTACAAAACAACAATCAAACTGAAGGAAAAAAGCCTGTATTAGTTCTACCTTGCATGAGCATAGTCAAGATGACCTACTTAAAAATGCTAATGTGGTACAACTTGGCTTGGAGTCATAGTCTTCTCCTGCAGATTCTTCACAAACAGAGACAAGAAACTTGCAACACAAAGAAAATATCAACTGGTGAAAAACTCCTGTCAGCCTTACCCAAAGCCAAGGAAGCTGAAAGGGGCAAAATAAACTATTTGGGACACAGCTAATCCAAGGATTTCAATACTAACGTTCATCTAAGTAAAACT